GTTTTAAAAATGTTTAAAACCATTCTGAGTTAACTACAAATTCTAATTTTTACAGTAAAAGTGACTTGTACATCTTCAGTGGCTATACTTTTACTACAAGTTCTCATCAAATTAAGCTGATTCATAAAATGGTCACTAGTAGACTTTGTAAAGAATTGTTTTGCAACAGAGACCATAATCGCTTTCAAAATCTAGTTTATCAGAGTTTACAGTGATAAAGGCTTTTTCTTTCTACCATACAAGTGCGTAAAGAAAACCACACTAATTCCACAGGGGAATTAATTAATCGTGGGTTTAGGTGCGCTTCAGTTTGCGTAGCAGCCATCACAACATGTAGGCAGAACATTGCTGACAGAGAACTGCAGACATTTGTCTCCTGTGAGGAGGGCTATCCTGAGTCACATACTTTGTGGAAATCAGCATCTAAATATTACAATAGGCAATATGCAAAGCACTGTGTGGGAAAAGGAGTTGTGACTTGATTCTGAAAACTAGAAGTCTAGCGGTCATAAGAAGAGCAGCTAAAGAAAGAGATTTTCAAGAAAAACTGCAATGATCAGCTGATTAGTTTAAGGCTGTTATTTTCCCCCGAGATTACTGTTAACTTAGTTATTTCACACAAAGGGAAAATGGTTATATGGTTTCTGTTTATATAGCTCTTGGAGACTGTGCCCGAGGTATTTGGAGTTTAAGCTAACGAAGTGTCAACATCACTATAAACACTAGTGGAAAATCCTTTGATCAGCTCAAGCTGCTTTTTTCAGGCCGGATTCCTGTTGTTCTAAGATTTTTGATCTTAGTGGACTGTTTTCCTAAAGGAAAGCTATCAATAGCCTGTTCCCTGAGTTGCCCAGAATTGTTCTAGCAGCAGCTGGCCACTTCCAGATGCTGTCTTTCTTAAGCATCCCTCTCTTATCAAGTCAAAGATGTGTGAGAGCCATGTAAAGGGAAGTGGGCAAGGTACGTCAGTCGGGAAAAACAAGTTTTATGGGCTGAGTGAATTGTTCTGGCAAGAGCCACCCAGTTCTGGCCATGCTTCTTCCAGGGACGGTGCAATTATGCAGCAGCCTACCTGTGTGTGGTTCTGCATGTGTGGATCTGATGCTGAACCCACTATGTCTGTGAGATGTGCCTTTTTCCTGACATGGTCTCCAAAGCAAAGATAATTAACTCTTCTACCAGAAACGCTAGGCAGAGCTGATCAAATCACCTCATATTTTTGGGAGTCAGCCAAAGCTCTGAAATGAGCTTGTGAATTTTCAGCTTTTCCATGTAGTCTCACTCTACATGCATTTAGGATCGCATGTGACAGATCTTTGATTCCTTGCTTTTAGAAAAAGGCTTTTTATGTACCTGTGGTAAGCTGGTCAGCTGAGCTGGTTTCTCTTTGAATGTGACCTGAAGACATAGCATGTGACGGGAACTTTCTCTTCTCAGCTGTAGGTCAAGAATCCAAAAGCACTCAAAAGCTTGCTTTAAAACAAGCAGGAATATGGGGGTGGGGGGGTTTTGTGGGGGTTTTTGGTTTTTTAATAGTTGGAAACAAGCAATGAAAGACCTATTCCCACCGCACATGTGTTTAATGGTTAAACCTATTTTAAATGCTGCTCAGAGAACCTTGGGGAGCTGAGCATTTATTAATCATGGCTTACTAGTACATTGTGGTATGTCTAAGTTTCCCCCCCCCCTTCTCTCTGGTGTTAATTTCATTTAATTATAGTACAGGAAAAGACAGATAAGTGGGATTGTACGTCATTAATGAGTGTAAAACAGTGGGTTTTTTTCTATTCTAGATAACCCATGACAAAACATATGTGGCTTTCTAATACAATGTAAATGTTTCTTGGTGTTTGGGGTGTGTGTGTGTTTGGTTTTTGTTTGTTTTTTTTTTCTCCCCCTGGGCCTTCTGCGTCATTCACAACTTTGTCTCAGCAGAGGTGAGAAACCTGAGGCCCCGGGTATCTGTGTACTACATGGGAGACTGTTGAATTGCTCATGGAGGGACTGCCCGAGGGGCTTGGTAACTGAAGTCTTCGTTCCTGATCTGGCCCTGGGTTTTTCTGTTGCGGGCCCATGTGCAGGCAGAATGCAGGGCTGTCCCACACAGCATGGCCCCATGCCGAGGTGCTGGCTGGAGTCCTGAGAGCTGTAGATCCATGTTAGTATAGTCTAGAGAGTGAACTCATCAGGAAAGACAGTCCCATGAAACTGTTTCTAATTCAGGACTTAGCACTCCATAAGGTATTTCTCCTGAAGCTACTTTAGCCTCCATTGTGTCGTGTATCAGCAACTGAGAGCCGGTGACGGTGACTTTTTCCATGTGATGGATGCCTGTCCACTAGGATCTGCCTTGAAATTAGCTGTCCTTTTGTACGGCCCAGTGAACAGCTGGCAGCAGCAAAGCTTCTATCGATATGCCCTGGATTTGAATGAATGATGTGCATCTCTAGGAGCTAAGTATCATGTGAAAGGATCTCCAGCCCTTCAGCAATCATTTGAACCATTTGTTTTCTCTTTGTATTTTTCATGCAAAAATAAGTAATGTTTTTAGGTGGAGAAATTAAAAGTTATGCTTTAATGAACATGGAAGAAAGTATCTTCACATGAAACAGATACTGAGCTCTGAGGGATCTGTTTGCATGAAATTCATCTCCGTATTCTAGTAAGTCAAACTCAGTTAAGATATCCAAGCAGATTGTCTAAAATATATTGATGTTTTGTCTAATATTTCAGGAGCTAGATATACCTGAAACTGAATACTGTGAATGAATAGGTTTGTTGGCCCATGGGATATTGTGGCACTTTACAAAAGTTTCAAACAGCTTGGTCTGAACCTTAGCTGTGCTGTAGGCAACAGAGTAGGCTGGTTTTGTAGATGCTGTAAACGCAGTATATCTTCAACGCAGTCATTAGTATGTTGTTTGTCTTAATCATCTGAAGAAGTGACAAGATAGACAAGGCAGAGTTGCCATACAAAGCCACCTGTCACTGATGACAACAATGACAAGAAATTACAATTCTAGCTCAACATGAGAGATTATAACTGTCTATCAAACTGCAGAAAAATTCTGTTTATTCCTTCATATCCACTTAATTGCTGAAGTATGTAATAATGCAACAAACCCTAAATCGTTAAATTATCATGTATCTTCTCACTCCTAAATCTCATGCTTGCAGGCAGTTGCAGGAGTGGCTTATTCCTGAAAGATAAATTTCCTAGATTCAGATGATTTTTTGGAAGAAGTGGCGTCAGAGCACTTAACATTTGGTTCTGTCTTTTCCTTTCTGTTCTGGAGTTTTTCTGTGTGGTAACAGCTCTTCCTATAGGAGCTGATATGCTAACATGACTTCCTTTACTTTGTGCTAGCCCCATTAAGAAGGAGAAAAACCTCCAACCTTCCAAAAATGTATATAATATATTTTTCGTACTACTGCCTGTAAGACTTAATCTTAGTGACCAGTAGGACCAGGTCTCTTGGAAAGACCCGTACTACATGTTGTGTTAGCAGTCTTCACTGTACACAGCTGCTTTGGAGGTGAGCTGGCTACTTCTCTGTTTCAGCTTTATTTGAGTGGCTGCAGATGGATGGTTTTGGCTGTGGGGAACTGAGGCTGACTTAGATACAGTTTAGTTATTTGGTTTAGTTGGTTTGGACATTGTGCCTTGTGACTGTCATATGGCTTGTGAGATTCCAGCTTTTATTCCAGAGAAAACCATGCTAGACTACTCCACCTCTTACTACAACAACACCTGTTACATACATAGCAGCAATGATTAACCTCCAGAATCGTTTTTTGTAAGTAGGCCAGTGTAAAATCCATCTCTCAGTGCATGAGGAAGTAAGTAATCTTTGCGTGTGCCAAGAGCATGCAATTCTTCAGGGGAGTTTGCTTTATGAGGTACATATTGGATACAGCAGACCTGAGGCTGTGACCAATATACATAAATCTGCCCCCGCCCC